AGCAGCACAGACCTGCCAGGGCTGCCCTTCAGGCTCCAAGTCTGCCAAAAACTAATCTCAGGATGCTCAGCAGAGCATCCCCTGGGCTCTCTTGTCAGTGGGACAAACTCCACACACATACAACTCTTCAAGCTACACAGAAGACATGAAAAAAGTGTTTTTCAGTGAGACAAGACCCAACATGCTCAAATGCATTACCTCAGGCTCTTCTAGCAGGTAGGGAATTAATGAGACAAATCCCAAGTGCCAAAGCTTACTTGACTCCAGCTTGAGCTCCAAGCTGAAGGCAATTATATGGAGATAAATGAAAACATAAACTGCAACTCCTTATAAGAAGCTGATATATGCCAAGCTGAGGTCTCCTGTGAGGTATTTTCATGATGTGTGTGTACAGCCATTAAAAAAACCAACAAATTTAGATTTCATCCAGTAGCCTAATTTTTATTAATTAAATGCAACTGGGACTAACAAAATTAAGTAAGAAGTGCAACAGGTTGTAATGACATCAGACTACTCAAAGTTTATTTTTAAAAGCTTCCATGCCTTAAACGCCCTGGGGTACTTAATCTGGGGCAGTAAAGTCATCATGAGAGATGTTGTCTCTGAGCTGACAGACCCAGTCTTGACTTTGGTCTGAAACACAGCCCAAGGAGACACAGCTTTCTTACATTGCTTTTGGCACCAGCTGTGCCTTAGGAATGTGGACAGTGAGCATTGGGACAGCTTGACTTAGGGACAGCTGGGTCTGATTAATATTTAGATGCTTCACTGAACTGTGCAGTTTGAGATGATCTGTGGCAATCCCATCCATGTTTTCTAGGGAAAGTGCGTCCAGTCCTCCCAGCAGGGAGTGATGCTCACAGTGACAGCCCTGGCAGACCCCATGGTGGGCAGGGGGGAGCAAGGGAGCTGCTACTCCCCTGAGCCAGCTCGGAACACAACCATCACAACCAGGATCACTGGTTGTTGATCTCAAACACACGGGACAAAAAGTCAAAAGAAAGAACTGCAATTTCTCCCACCAGCTGGAGGTCTCCTTCTCCAGGCTGGGAGCTGTGGGACAGGGCTTGTATCAAGCCTCTGGCTCCCTTGCTGAGAAGAGGACTGCAGCTCTTACTCAGTTCCTTTCAGGTGACCTGCATCGGCACCAGCTAAAAACCACTCTGTGAATCACTGCTGTCTGATGTGTTTCTCATGCCAACAGGAGGGGTTCCTCCCAAGCCAAGGCTGGGTGGGGTAAGATCGAAGTTCCCAGCCACACAAACATAAACAATACAATGCTCGTGATTTAGGAGGTACTCACACTCTCTTCTGGTGAGAGCCTGGAATAACTCACTTGACTCACCACAAGACTGACACTGGATCCAAAGCGACACCACTCCAGCCCTCCTTAACTTTGGGGCTGATGCGCTCTATGTAGGCTGGAAAGTGATGCTGTTTGATTAAGGTTGACAGGCATTAGAAAACTCGCCAGTTTCTCACACCACCTTATGAGAGTACTGGTGCACCGAGGAGCCCACATCTTCCCTGCTACCCAGACCATCAAACACTCTATGACCTCTGCAGTAACCAGTGTGCAAGGCATCCTTGCACAACTCCTGCAGCATTCCAGGCTGTAGAGGGACTCAGCCACCTGCTCCCTGTGCAGACCAACCTCTCTCTCTCCGGCCTCAAAGCACGTGACTGCTGAAAAGCCCAGGCAATTTTCTAAGCCACTGACCTGGACCAAACTCTCCCTAGTCCTTGGTGCTGACCGGCTTTTCCAACAAGAGACTGTGGTGATTATTGCTATAGCAGCAAGTCCACTAGTGAAGCAGAAAATAAACAAACTTTATCATGGTAGTAAATGATGGAGAAAACACCAGTCCCTTAGGTGGTGAGAAAAATAACATTAGCAGGACCAGCATCATACTGGAGCAGGGTGGGAGGAATGGCAGTTAGCTGGTTATCCCATTTCTTGCCTCAGTAGGACATATGTTTTTAGCACTGGCTTCATTACCAGGAGCAAGTTACTCTGAACATCATCATTCTCCTGCCTGGCTTGAACCACTTCACAACCTGTCTAGTGCTTATTTCCTTCTCTTACCTGAAAGACAAATTTTCACATGGGCACAGAACATGCCAGCCAGGGAATTATGAATACCTAAGCCACTGCAGGGGGACATGCAAGAATGTTTGACATGGTGCCCCAGGGAGAGCAGTTCTCAAACTCAGCAGGACCAAGCTATTTGTCTTTCTTGCATAGCTAAGGGACCACAGGGCAGCCTGAACAGTGAGTGGATCACTTACCTCAGCAGCCAAGGAGAGCTGTGGTGGGCAGCACCTGTGTGCTACCTAGCACCTCTGTACTATTTAGCACAAGGACACAAAAGACCCCAGTCAGTCCTCACACAGCTACAGCAAAGGCAGCCTAAAAATTACTCACCAGGGCAAATACACCAAGCCCTGGCACAACCTGTGATAACTGACTGGCTACTTTCACCTTTTGGTACCTCAAAAGAGCAGATGACACCAATGCTCACTGCCATAGCCCCCACACTGGGGTACATCTCCCCACAGACCACACACAGGACTCACACAGAAGGAGGCACACAAGCAGAGAGAAGTCTTGTTCCCACCACAGCCCAGGAAAAGTAACCACTGCTAGACCCCAGACTATGCTCTGCCTCTCAGAGGAGGAACAACTCAGCGAACGAGCCCTTTTAATGGCTGTGGGGGTCAATCAGTATTAGCAGCTGAGGCTGCAGGGCTGCAGAACAGGTGGGTTTGAAAGCTCTCCAACCGTGTCTCACCTGAGCTCCCTGGGCTCACCTGTCTGTAGTTTACTGCCTGTTTCCATGGTCAGCAGCAGGATCTAATGTCCCCCCTCACCACTGCCAGCAGACCCGAGGTGCCTCAGGCCCTGCAGAGGACTTAGGTGGGCACTGGGTAGAAGCTTCACTGCTGGGATCTGGGAGAACTTCAGGGTGTGCAGCCTGACTTTGGAGCGTGTGATTGCCTTTCATGCTACAGAGCATTTTGGACACACCAGGATAGCAGGAAACACCGTGATGTGTTCAGGAATTTTGATTCTCTTTTGGGTCCGTTTTTAATAGAGGTGTTTATCACCATTACTATCCCAAGTGAACTCAAACCCTGGAAGCATGCAGAAGCATCTAGGAATGTGTGCGCCAGGAAAAAGGGATTTACAACAAAATTAGTTTCTTTTTAACCTCAAATCTTTTTTCTCTTTGCACTCTTCAGATTTGTTTGACACATTCCTGATGGAAGCATAAAGCTTGATATGAAGAGCTTTTGTCAGTATAATATGTCCAGTCATCAAGACTGTGTGAGTACCAGCCCACATCTTTGCTCAGGCTCCAAAAAATGCCTGCTCCAATATTTTTATATGCCCAGACTCAAACACATATGCTGCATAGATGCTTCTACGTGACCAATAACCTGGACTTCAGGGGAAGTAAAATAAAATGTAAGTCAAGCAGAGTAAGAAACTTCAGCCCTTCCACCTCCAGCAAAACTTGTTCATGGCTGATCCTCAAGAAAAAGAACAAAACCAGGTACAGCACCTACTTTTCTTACTTTTTATATAAAATAGACATTTACATACATTTTCTTCTGCAAAGACTTTGAGCATAACTCCTTGATGTGAAATCTAGCCAAAAATCCCACCATGAACGAAGCAAAGACTCAGCAAATTCCTGCATCACTGACATACATCCAGTTGCTGCTAAGAGTGAATTTATTTTTAAAAGATTTCTCATCCACGGGCTGTTATCTTGTATTTTGGTTTTGTTTGCTTATCTTTTTCTTTTTAAAAAATATATGCACAGCTAATTTTAAAAAATTAGATACAGAAATAAGAACCATATGAACAACAGGCAATGCAAACAACTTCTGCATGAGAGGAACACGCAGTGTGACATCCACTTCAGGCAGAGATTTCTACAGTAATACAGTTGTAGAAGCTGTAACTTTTACAGAGGATACCACTGGGGGTATTTTCCAGAAGAAAAAAACTTCAGCAAGTCAGTACAAACATGACAATGAACTTTTGCACAAAGTTATCAAGGTTACCTGAAGCAACTTTGCCACATTAAAACACCAGTGAATGCCAAGCGCTGTTTTTTCTCTTTTTCTTTTTTTTTTTTTTTTCTCTTTTGCTGCTGGGTTTAAATGTACATGAAAGCAAAATGGTGCATTTTGAAATTGCTGCAAGAGACTGAAGGTTGGGGGAAAAGCCCTCTAAGGGCTAATTTTTTTTGAAAGATTGTGCATAATTGCATATATGAAAGATAGAAACTGAGCACTTGGTCAGCTTAATCACATAAAGATTGAAGAGACTTAAGCATACACCAGCTGTTTCAATGAGCTGGAGGACAAGTGGGGCAAAAGACCACATAATAATATTCGAAATTGTTTAATTAATAAATTAGACTGACAATTATCTTCTTTCACCAAATATTGTACACCATATCTGGCCTGGTTTCTGTAACTGGAGAAGCTTTCATAGCTTTTAGATCATTTTAGGAGTGTCCAGCCTTCCCTGCAAGTTAGGCTCTTTATTTTGAAGTTTTTGTTACACTTCTTTCTACCCCCATGCATGCATGCACAGCCCCCTGTCCTCCTCGAGATCTGTGGAATGAAGGCCATTTGCACTGCTGCATTCACTTACTGTTTGGCCAAAACAAATTGCCTGCACATTTGTAGGAAAATCTAGTGCAAGGAGTCTATCATTTATCCTGGGGGACAGAAAAGGGATGGAAGCAAAGAATGCTGGAATTTAAATAAGCAATAAAATAAAATCCATCAGCTGCAAACGTTATTCATGAAGAAAAGAAAAAGCAACACAATTATTATGTTTCTCCTTTAGGATTAAAATGCACAGTGAGTACATGAGAGTCCTGTCTAACCAGCTTTCCATTAATTCGTTGGTTTAAAATTAGTGAGCACTGAGGTTTAGCCAATGTAACTTGCAGAGAGCATGAACTCTCCCCCACCAGGCAGATCTTCAGCCATTTATTAATTTGCAATCTCTGCTAACCATGCTGAGCACTGAAGCTGGCAGAAAACAATGTATTTATAACTCATTATTTTAGAAGCTGTGCAATGCTAGAGGCAGAGAACATTTCCTATGATGTATTAAGATAATATAAAGTTATCACAAGGTAAGTTGCTCAATTTATCTTTTACAATAGCATTCCATTTCAGTGGAGGTAACCCATTGCATATCATACTCTGTTCTTCTTTGCCTGCAATAAACCTTTAACGTGATTAATGCCCTGAACAAATACAGGGCTTCAGCATGGGTGCCAACAGGACAGGGAGTCAGCTCAGAACTTCACAAGGGTGTAACTGCTTTGGTAGCCCATGGTCTGAGCCATTCTCCAAAGGTGCTGCCAGTTTGCAGCCTGTCATCCTGCATAGATGGGGTATAAAGTGCTGGTTCAGGAACGTGGGGTTCATTATTGAGCACTCCTCTATCCCTAACTACCATAAACCCAGCTCCAAACTGTGGAGAGCTGGCCTTTCAGAATGTAAACTGAAATGTAAACTGGTTCAACTGGCATTAAAATCCCTGGATATATTACCTGCCTAATTCAGGCAAGTGGATATGCCTTGCCTTCCAACCAAACCACCTCCTTACTGGGAGCATGGGTCTCATCTTTCTTCATTTTCTGCAAGTAAGACAGTGTTGCACAAATAGTAATCAATCCTTCTTCAGGATCTGGGAGGGGGGCATCCAAAGCAATATTATACTTCTACACATACACCAGTTTTAGGAGGTCGAGATGGCTTTGATCAGGTTTTAGGACAAGCAGGAGACAGTAATTTCTACCAGGTCTCTCAGGAAAGACAAACTAAGATTTATGCTGAAGTTAAAAACATAAAACTAGGTCTTCCCCCTAACAAAGCATTGCTATAAAAAATACAACTTCTGTATTTGAAAAAATATGTTTCATTGGCCACTATTTAAAGCCACAAACTGCAGCGAGGCCTGTAGAATATATAGTATTTATTTAATATATCTTTATGAGGAAAAGTTTATAGTTGATACACACTTTTAAAGGAGGCATATCTCCCCCCATGCTACCCCCAAGCTTCAGCTGGCTGTCAGAGCACTCTGCAGATGCCTCCTTCCTGAGGGGCTTCGCACAGTACCACTGTCAGGGCTGCAACAAACACTGTTCTGCCAGCCCCCAAATTCACTGCACCACAGCCAGTATACCTGGGTAAACGGGGCTTTGGGAAGCTGCCCCAAAGACAGGCTCACCTTGGGGACAGGCAGGGAGCTTTCTGGTCCAGGTACCTCTGAATATCCCAGTAAGGAACCATCTAAAACCTTGCAATGCATGCCAGGGAACTGACTGCTTTCAGAGGCCATTTAAGCTTTGGTTTCCCCATCCCATGGGACTGTGTTGGCATGATGCCACCTCCTCCTGGTCATCCTGGCAGCCCAGGAGTGTGCAAAGCTACTCTGTGCATGGCAGCCAGCAGGGCAACCTGGAAGCTGGTTTGGAGGGAGAGAGCCCAAACATTTGTGGTGCCATCTCTTCCCCCCAGCCGTCTTTCTGTTCTGCCCAGCTGCCTCCTTGGCTGGTCTCTTTGGCCAGTGGGGACCAGTCCAGCCTGGTCTCAGTGGGTGCACAGCCATGGCCCTGGCAAGTCCATAAACCCTGGCAGGGCAGACAACTGCACCTGGACTCCCTCTGAGCTCAAATGCAGTTGGAGTCACATTAATAATTCATCAGTAATTTGACCACCACCTTCAGCAAGACACCAGGCTTTTCAAATGAAACCAGCAAAACCACCAGCACGTGGCTGAACCATCATCCCACTGAGGGAATTTGGAGCGTGCTGAGGTGCCATGGCCAGCTAAATCCGGGCCACACAGGCATGCCCACCACACAGGCTTTTCCTGACAGATGTGTTTTAAGGCATTGCACATCTAACTGAACAGTACTAATAATGCCACACTCTGGGCTGCTGGCCACAGTCAAGCTTGAGCAGAACAACTTTTCTAGCAGTTTAGTGCAGCAAGAGGAACAAACTGATGACCTACCCTGATGTCCAAACCCAAAGGCACGAAGCAGGATCCCACTAACACTCCCTGTGAACTGGTGGAAGCAGCAGAAGTGCTGCTATTGCAGGGCCAGTGTGGTCCAATGTGCTCAGCAGCCTCTTGCTTTAGAATCACGAGAGGGAATTATTCCAGCATGCCTCATTGGTACTCCCTTTTTCTAACTTCAGACAATATGAGTCACAATGCCCAACCATGTGGCCAGCTGTGAAGGATATTGCCCAATTCGTATAAAACAGAGAAAATATATTAATTATTTGAATATGATAATTTAAATAAATAAAGCTCAAAAATAAAAGCCCCAGTTCTGAATAGAATTTATTTTCCCATATCAGTATTTAAAAATATAGATTTATGACTGACCAGCTATAGGTAATTTTCTGTATCTCTTAGGGGAATGGTGAGAACACTTTGACCAACTATTTTGTCAGTATTATCACCATGATAAATAGGCTTTGTCCCTGCACACCCATAAAAGAGCCTCCTTCGTACCTTTCCAGGCTAGGAAATATTCCCTAATCTCTCTGTGGCTTTACTTTACCTCCTATATTCATTAGATAGGTTGTTTGTTTTCCATACTGGGGACTGAGCAGAAGGACAAGTAATCCTAGAGCTTCCCATTGCCTTTGGATGCTTCAATTTTTTTCAGATAATAATTATTTGGCCTGGAGGGAGAGGGCAAGGGGTAAAGCCATATGATATTTGACAAAAGTGACATAATGAACCTGAATTACTACAAAATTATTGTCTAATGAGTAAAAACATTCAGACTAGGTTTTCTGCCAAAGGATCATCTGTCTACTTGTAGAATCATCCTTCTAGGGTGATATTTAATTAGCTTCCCCTTTCTTTAGAATAACTTTCAAGTCACATTTAGAGCTGTAAAAGTGACCACCATTTCCTCAGCATTAACCCCTTGGAACCTTTTTTATGTGACCATTATGACCATCTTTCCTGTTTGCAGCACTTGCAATGAAGCCCATCACTGGTGCTCTACATGGATGAGGTGAGTCTGTGTGGAGTAACAGGAGATGCTACTTCACCCCTCCTGCAATGAATGAGTGCTTTGTCTCCATGGTTTCCCTGGTGACAACCAAGATATTGAAGGTACATGTCCCACCCACACTCCCAGTGTGACTAACTTGGGCTCAGCCTAGACATAAATCTTGATTAAAGGAAGGTTTTCATTCATGCTCCAGCATGTCCCACAGGACCCAAGTGTCTCCTGTAACTTTGATCGAACCTAAGCATGCATTTGAAGTTTGCCTTCCATAATTCTGAGTCCTATCAAAGTTCTTTCAGCATCACTCTGAGCAACAGGCTTCCACCATACTCTTCTCCAAGGGGCATGAGTGTCTCTCTGCTGGTGACTGATTGCTATGTTTGGTCTTTCTCCTGGACTTCTTGAAACCGTTTCTCCAAGCGATCCAGCTTGGCCAGATTCTCCTTCAGCAGCTTGCTGTTTGGAACCAGTTGTAAGGCTTTCTCATAGTAGTCACGGGCAGTGATGTAGCTCCCCTGCAAAGAAAATGAGTGGTAAGTCTCATTCACATTCCACGCAGAAAGTTCATTCCGAGGGTAAAGTGAAAAACATAACACAGGGTAAACAAGAGTTGAAAAAATGTGACATTGCTGGTTTACAAAAATACTTCTTCTTTATGAAACAGATCACCAAGCACTGTTAACCTAAATTTGATGAAACTCACACAGCAAGAAATAGATTTACATTTTTCTGTTATGTTGCACCAGAAGAGTTAATTTTACTGAGCAACAGGATAGCTTAAGGACATCACACAATGTGACTCCTTAAGACCCAAATCATAATGATATGCTAAAGTATTCAAAAGAATAAGCAACCACAGGGTAGGCTGCCTATTTCCATAATTTCATGCCAGTATTCTGCATTAGACATCTTTATTAAATTAATTAGGTAGAGAAGAACCTTAAAAGTCGACTCATGGTGACATTTTCCTAAGGTAGGTCAACAACTGAAGCAGGAAAGCTTTACAGAGGAGCAGGTTGTTCCTTGCAGCCTACACTCTTGCAATATGAGATTTGTTTACCAAGCAGCCTGGCTGGGAATTCTAGCTGGGGTGAAGAGACTTCCCTCCTTTTTGGATAAAATATGTCAAGGGACTTGCTGTTCACAAACATGCAATTCTTGGCAGTCTGAAACCAATTTAGCTTTTTGTCCTGAGTAGTAGTCTCTGCACCTGGCAGCTTAAGGAAAACCAAAACTGTCATACCTTGATGTGCTCAATGCCTCCCATATTCATCCAGGCCTGTGCTTGGTCTGGGTTGAGCTCCACAGCCCGTTTATAGCTCTAGAGAAACATGAAACATTTCTAGGTTAAGAGTCTGACTCTTCAAACAAAACCGTGGCTGGAGGGGAAAGAGAAACACAGTTCCCTCTCCTGAAGCCATTCAGAATGTAATTCCAATTCCTCTCATATACAATGCACAAAGTGAATTTCAGCTTCTTTGCAGAAGAGGCATAGAATGTACTGCTTCATGGCTCAGTTCATCTCACAGGTTTTCCCTGCCAACGTGTGCTTTTCCTGCACTGTGAGAGGAGCCACACCTGTGACCCTGTCCCAGCCCCCTGCACCACTGGGGTCTCCTGCACATCAAGGTCATTTCCTTAGGCAGTGCCAAACATAATGCCTGCCAACTACAAGCCATGTGGTTGCTCTTTATCTGCAAGGCTTTAATTTGGAGCTGGTGGCAGACTCTGGTACAGCCACTTGTGTGGAGGCTCCGCAAGGACCTGAGGTCAGTGCTTTCCCTCCCCACTGCCGTCGAGTGTGGAAGAAGAAACAATTAGGACCTTCTGCAGTCTGTTAAACAGCACTTTTTTACTGTTTTTACTGTTTTTACTGTTTTTACTGTTTTTACTGTTTTTACTGTCACAACAGGAAAGGATTTTCAAATCAGGATTAAACATCTCTAGGGATACTGAAAATATTCAGAACAGTCCAAATATTTTCTGAATCAGAGAAAATCAAAGAATCAGAGAATAATGGAATGGTTTGGGTTGGGAAGGACTTCAAATATTATCTTCTTCCAGCTCCCCTCCTACAGGCAGTGACACCTTCCACTACACCAGGTTGTTTCTGCACTATTATCAATGCTAACATAATTTCTGAGCTATCAATCATCCTACTTCACAGGAGAAGTCAATCTCTCAGTTATTGGCTTCTGAGGTGAGATATAACAACATGGTGAGCTCTCATAGGATCCCAAGCTTCCTGCTGAGCCACTTGGAGCCGGTCACTGTCAGCAAGAGGGGCTGGGGCTGGATGGAGCAAGAGTCAATTCCACCATAATTCTGTACTTAACCTCTCAGAGCAGGGAGCGGTATTTCCATACAGGAACGAGGAAAAAAGTTGTAAATAAGTGTGTTAAAGTTAGCTGCCTCATGGCATTCTCTGTTCCAGTGATGGCCTCTGAGCTCCTAAGGCCAATAGCCAAGGGTGTATGTACCACAAAGTTTCACACACAATGAGCAAACTCTCTTTTAGCCTGTGAAACCACTGGTAGGTCTCAGAGCAGTCATACCTCAAAAGCCTTGTCAAGGAGATTCTGTTCTCTTAGCTGGTTTCCTTTAGTGAAAAAGAGCTCTGATATGACTTTTGGATCCTTTGGTTTTAGCTGAAGCGCTTTTTCTATAGCTTCAAGTGCCTGTGAAAAAGCAAGAGGACATTGTGTGCCTTCCATTCAGTGCCTTCCCACTTCTAATTCTTTCCTCGCCACTATGGACTCCCAGCATAAGAATCATCCTCCTCCTTCCCTTGTTTGCCCTACATCATTAACACACAGGGAAGTGAGATATTTAAATGCCATGGGCTGATGGGCAGTGGGGCTGACAGCAGCAGGAGGTGTAAGTGATAAGAAAACCACACTGCTTAGCTTCAGTCTTAGCATGCAGAAAAACGGAAGGTTTTAGTGAAGAAATAATCAACTGAATGTGTGCTGAGGCACACATGACAGATCCCCAAAGAGATGGGAGTGTAAAATTCAACCTGAGGTCTGTGTGTGAGCCCTTGGGACAAGGGTATCCCATGCCATGGTACCTTGGCATAGAGCTCCTGCTTGCTGTAGATGGCTGACAGAAGGCGGTAGCACTCCAGACACTCTGCATCCTCGTTAAGGATATGGTTCGTCATCTTTTCAGCTTCCTTCGTCCGCCCCATCATCGCCAAAACCTGAGCCTGTAACATTAACAGCCACATTATGAAGTGTTATGATCTTGTAAAGCTCGGCCCTCTGTCACATGCTGGGCTGCACCCAGTTGCTCTCCTGTGGTGGCCCTGCCCTGGCCCCACGCTCACCAGTGCCAGTCGGATGTCCTTGCTGGAAGGCTGCAGTGCTGCTGCTTCCCTGTAAACCTGCAGCGCTTCTTCGTATCGCCCTGTGTTGTAATAGAGAGCTCCCAGAGGGGACAGGATCTCAGCCTTCCGGGATACCTTCAGTGCCCTGGAGTTTGGGAAAAAGGCATGCTTCAAGGTCGTGTGAGAAGCCAAGTGGAAGAGAGAGGTGGGCTTGTGCTGGGATGTAGAACCAAAGCTCTGGGAAGCACAAATTTCAAGTTCTGGGGAGGGATCATTATCATTATCTTCGTATCTTGATGTATGATTTGACTATGAACCACTAAATATAGTACAATCAAAATTAAGAATGTTATACCTGTAGTACATCACAAACCACCTACAAGTTAGAATGAACAGGTTCCCACTATGCAGCTCATTTCAACTATTACTAAGAGTTATTTCCACCTATAGAAATTAATGTAGGTCTCTCACCACACAAGCAGAATTCACTACCCTGCAGCCAATTCAGAACCTCCTTTCCCTGGAATCTAGGGGCATTAATATCCATCCCAGATATTTACTGCCACCTCTCTTTGATACTTCACAGATTTCTGTCTAGTAATTAAGGATGAAAGACATCGGTGTCCCTTCTTGAGCCCATCTGTGTTGCAGAACTTGCTGAGAGCTATTGTTAGGGAATATGCCCACAGCAGTAATCCCTCTAGCCACCTCAGAAGGAGAAGGAGCCACCTCCAAAGTGCCCATGAGCCTGCAGCAGGGGTGGGGATGGTTGACAGTGATGAAACCTGGGGAATGTGAGCACAAACCTATATGCCAAAAAGAAGGCAAAAATACTCCCACCCAATCAGTCCTGCTGCATACCAGGAGTCAGAGGCTGACTGCTGGGACACTGCTGGGAAAGGCCAGAGTTACTAATGGTGCCAAGGGTTTGGAGCTGAGCTGTGCAGCACTTGTGGCTGTTACTGCAGCAACCACAGACCACCTTCAAGCAGCGTGGGAGCTGTGGTAACACAGCCTGCTCCTGCCACCGAGAAACCTCCAACTTTATCATCAGAGCATCCCTCAGCCAAAAGCAGTAGTGTCCATCCTGGGGGCTTGGGAATAGTCCAGGGAAATCAACACTGCCAGAGCCCATGCTGCCTTTCCAAGCACTCCCCAAAAATCGCTAAATCTAGCTTCAAACAGATGGAGAATGGAGGGCAGAAACCCCACGCATGCACTGATAGACCTGCATATCAGAAACTCTTTAGGAGAGCAAGTCATACAGGGGCAGGAGGAAACCCTCTGTCTCCCACCCCAAATCCTCACCTCTTGTACCACACCTCAGCCTCCTTGTTCTGCCCCAGGGAGCGATGAAGCCTGCCCAGGTTCACCATGGCCACGTGGTGAGCGGGGCTCAGGAGGATGGCCTGCCTGTAGTGGGACATGGCTCTCTCGGGAGACCCTGGAGAGGAAAACAGCCATTAAACCAGAAAAAACCTTGTGCAGCAGAAAAACACTGTCTCGAACTCAGCACACAGTAATGTTCTGGCTTTCTTTCTTCTATTGCCCTATGCATGGAAACATTTTGAGAAAGAAATACTGCCTCAGCATTTTGAATCTAAGTGTAAGAGAAATTTTGAATCTAAGTGTAAGAGAAATTGCTGTCCAAACTAACATTTAGGACCTGATATTCAGAGATGGTCGTGAGAAATAGATTTTCTAGGGGTGGGTTTTTTGCAAATTGAGGGTACAGTCACAACAAGATGACTCCTGACTGAAAGTACCCTCTTGATCATGCAGCAGTGGGAACACAACCCCTGTGCTAAGGACAGAGCCCATCTCAGAGAAGGGGCTGGGGCATATGTGCCATTTCCTGCTGGAGCATCCTTTCACCCTGGCCCACTGGAGAAATGAACAATGAAGAATGAAGAACAAGCTTCCCAGTATTCCCCACCACAACTGCAAATAGTTTCAGCTCTCTCCAAGCAGAGATTATTCCCTCCACCTCTGCTGTGTTGCTCTGAGCTCCAGTTCAGTCTCTGTGTATTGCTCAACAGGACTGGGAATAGCTGCTAGGGACCAGCTAATTCCCACTCAGGGCAATAAATCCCAGGGGAGAGGTGTCCAGATGCCTATTTAGGAGCACGCAGGCACCATCTCTGTGCTGAACAGGAGCCATTGGGTGGCACTGCTTCACTGTGTGAAAATGTGCAAGGTCCTGCAGCCCATGACATCACAGATAACTACAACAAAATACAAGCAAAAAGAGGTGCAAGATCAATGCACCTGAACTTTATACCCCAATGCATAAAGTTCTACTTTTAATAATGTACTTTTATTTAGCTAAATGATGGTAAAAGTATAAAGTTCCAGCATTTCAGCAATGTAAATATTGCATTTTTATCCCAGGGCTCGTTTAATTGGGTTGCAAACTCCAGACCAGATAATCTCCTGATGAAAACCAATAATCAAATAGCTTTGTCCACAACAAAGCTTTACAGTGTTGGCATTTTTTAAACCGATTCACTTTACAATGTACTTAATTCCATTTCGAGCTGGAAAACAGATCTCAAAAACAGCCAGTGGCATGTTGGGGCAACTGAACATACTGCTGTGGGAATTTTGTTTTCATAGCTTCACAGATCTAGTTTGATTTTTCGGAGACAATCTATGTAACTCAAAAGATACATGGATACATCTCAGCATCTCCTTTAAGGGAGTGAGGAGGAACATCTGTGGAGAGGTTTAGAAGTGTTCAAGATTTACCTAAGGCTGAGGACGTGTTGTTCAAGGTATGACTTTTTCAAAACATCCAGCAACAGCCTCGATCTTTCCCCACCACCGAGCAGGCAGATGTTTTTGAAAATTATATCTACAAAACATCCTGGGAAGCAGCTGTGCATGCACTTCAGTCCTTCAGCCAGTCAGTGCCTCCCCTGCTCGGCACACAGGGGTAATGTGCATCATTAAGGGAGACACACTGGATGCCTTTGACCACTGCAGAGCTGTCTGGAGTTGTGGCTCCCCAGAGCCAACACTTGCTGGAGGCTTGTTGCACAAAATCCTGCAAGTTAATTGGCGTGGTGCTTCACAGCATCTCCCTGTGCCGCCGGCAAAGAGCGCAGCCTGTGACAGGCTCACCACCAGCCACTGCCTTCATGCCTTGTCATGTCTCTAGGAGGGTTATTGACACATCGTGCCCCAAGTATCAAAAGTCAGTGGGATTTTTTCCAGTTGTTTGTCTGTAGGGAAGCGTAGGAGTAAACCAGGAAATGATAGTTTTGACTTTGGCAGAGTACACAACTGCAAATCCAGAAAGTGCTCTGCACTACATTTGAACCACAAATTTTGGCAGGAATAGGACAGTTTATCTGAGTTGGCAAGCAAAGCTGAGTACAAAATCAGAGGGAAATTACTCAGGAATTTTTATTATTTGCAAGATTGAATTTTGCTAGGGCCTAAATTCAGAACCTGAACCCCTTTTGCTAATGCCATGATGCCTCTTGATTATGAATACTGGTTCTGGTTTTGTATTTGTTTCACACTGGCACTACAGAAGAGTGATGGCCAAGTGTCAGCTCAGAAGCCAGTTGCAGACTGACAGACACCATTGTCCCTTCTTCCCAAGCACCACTGGAGCTGGGCATATGTGATGGGGAAAGAATGGATGACAACCACACACTTCAAGCCTACACTGTTTCATCACTGAGTCTTGGCTCTGTTCTGGAGGGATCACAGTGAGACAACAATCAGTTTCCACTAGTCATTTGTCAAACTTAGCCTTGCTTATAAAGCTGTCAATAAAAGGTGCAATTAAAGTGAAGTTTCTGTTGTTATGTGAATGCCAAAAAGTGCCAAGGAAGTTGGATGAGAACCATAAACCCAGAAAAAAAAAAAGGATGCCATTACAGAGCTCCTCAAAAAACAATTTGCCCCACAGTCTATAAGGTCTTGTTTTCACAGATGATTGTGGTTTAAAAGCCATGTTCCTTTCTATAGTGGTGGCACTCAAGCCTTACAGTCAAAGACCTGCTTTGTCACAAAGTGGGGCCGCACATGCTCCAGAGACCATAACAATCCATTTGTGTGCCTATGATTTGATGCAGCCATACCTTGCTGGAAATAAGGCAGAACTGTCAGGGTGCTGCCCAGCTCACACGAAGAGGGCAACTGCCTGTGTGAATATGGTGAGAAACACTGACGGGAACAGCGGGGCTGAATGCTCCTGCTGCACAGTGCCTGCACTGATTACAAATTCCAGTGCACTGTGCCCTCTCAGCAGCACAGGGATATTTATTTCCAAGCTACCACGGAGGCACATCTATTGCCTTGGAAGCTTTTGACACTCTTTTAGATGTGTACTGCTGCATAAAATAAATCAAAGCAAAGAAGGCAGAGAGGGAAAAACCCTTGCTCCCTCTCACTTACCAGTATCAACCAGGAAAACACCATAGTTGTTATGCAGATCGGAGCTCTCTGGACAATTCTCTATGCCAGCCTTATAGACCTCCTCAGCTTCCTTAAGCTGTTCCTTGAAAGAGAAGGAGATTTCTTAGCCACGGCAGAAAGGTTCAGCACCATTTACTGCACACCTACATTCTGTGACAAGTCCCTTGCTGCATGGGAAGCCTGGGGAATCCACACCCATCCCACTTTCCAAGAGGCCAAAATTTTACCCCATGGCACAGATGTGATACAGCTGCCACCTGGTATCCCAGAGCAATTCAGACAGATTTCCCCCATGCCTTTGTTACCCATGAAATACCTGGAAAAGGTGGTGCCTGTGCAATGCCAGTGAGCCCCCAGCTGGGCACATGCCCAGCCAGGAAAAACACAGCAACAGGGATTGGGTTTGCTCTGTTGTGAAATAACTGTCATCTGGGAGCTGATATGTTCTAATTTATTTGTTTAATGAGCATCTCACTGACTAACTTTTCCCCTCTGGAGCTCTGCTATCCTTTCCTCAAGCAGGGAAGAAAACACAAAGAATGAAAGCCTGTTGTGTGTGATGGCTAGGGAGCTAGTGCACAGGGATAAAGGAAGCTGGAGAAAGACAGAGGGTGGTGAAAGAGCAGGAGAAGTTTGACAGATTCAGATTAAAACCAGGCATTGTCAGTGTGTGAGGTGTAGTTCGCTGGGACTGATGGAACATGCCACCATGTTGATTGCCCAGATGCACTGAGCTCTCATTTTGCACAGATTTCAGGGAGGTTTGCTGGTCCTGAACATTTCTAGAAAATACAGATCTTTTCTTTGGGAACACCCTGCCTACAGAAAGCATCCTACTGGCTGGGTTCTGTCTAGCCCGAGCTACGGGCAGCCTGGTCCTGAAACAAGAATCAGGTTTCTCCTTTGGATCAAAGAGCAACATATAATGGTTCCCACTTCCCTCCAGTCAGACCATGTGTGCTCACTGCCTGCATGCTCACCAGCATGGGTGCCTTCCTTCCCCCTACTCTCAGAGCTTGGCTGTCGGGTGTGTTTGTGGAAGGAGACTGAACAGAAGAGACAAGCACAGTGCAGAGGGGTGTCAGGCAAGCCTCCAGCACCAAAGACGCTTTTCTCAATTCTTCCCTTTCCACTGAGCAGCACAGCCCTACAGCAACAAACTCCACAGCCTCCTGACAAAGCTCCCGAGCAAAAGCAGCCAACTGGCTCTTCACTGACGAGGGCCTGGAGCTCCCACGCTCGGGAGTGCATCCACACTGAAATAAGAGGTTCGTCCGCTCCCAGCTATGGATTCTCCTCAAAGCCTGCAAATGGCAGAGCCCCCGGGCTTTCCCTGGATTTAAAATCTGTACCTGACAGCAGCTTTTGCTCCACAGCTGCTTAATGTGAGGACTCTTTTCTCACCTACTATTTCAGAACTGGAGAGCTGGAATCACTTGCACGGAAAGAGTATGACTTGATCGCAGAATCACAGAGTTTGCCACAGTTAAGTCCCTTCACATTTACATGATAAAGGTCAGCCAGCAAAGAAGATAAGTGTGGCATAAAGAACAGAAACACGTTTTGAAAAAGTGCTTAACTTTGGAAATTTTGGATAAATTGATGTGAATTTGACAACATTATCCTGCAGAGTCAGGAAAAGTGTAGTGAACATCAGAACTGACTAAATTGAAGAGCAATTTTTTCGTGCACATTTTCCAAGATTTATGTACTACTTTATTTTCCTCCGCTTTTAATTTTCAGCCAATGAATGTAGCTTTTTATACACGTATGTCAGCTTATTTTATTTACTGATCATAAACTAAATTTTCAAAGCAAGGAAGGGCTGTGTTAAACTGGATTAGAGTGTTTCATGTCAAAATATTCACCAATATTGAGCACTTTTATCATGGTTGCATTACTTTTTTGGCACCTTACATCCTGACCCTGCATGCCTCGGGCTCATTTCCCAGTCTAACAAAGTGTTTTCATTAAGCACAGTCAGAAAGTGGCAAGGGTGGAACCTGCTATTCCTGCCAGAGCATTCCCTCCTCACAGCCTCTCCTCTTCTTAGCAGAAATAGAGCTCTAAGTTCGTCAAGGCTTCATTTTCATTAACACTTAATAATGCCACTCCCAGACCTTCATGAAACATTCATCAATCTCACAAAACTCAGAAGGCTGGCATAAAAAATGTATGAGATTTTTATGATATTAAAAAAATTATGCATATGAGAATCTTTCAGTTGAACTCCAGGGTTTTAGGTCTGTTTTTCGTAAGGCTCAGTTTTTCAGTTTGGTTATGCCTGAGTAGGCTCTCCTCTGCAGCTAAGTGGGTTAAAAAGTTTCCTTTTCTAAGAAACACACACAAAATCAGTTGAAGCTAGAGTCCGAAAAGAGCCACCAAGTAGCACAAAATATGGATGAAACTGAAGCTGGGAAGACGGGAAAATGTGGGAAACCAATGTTTATATGTGAAAACAGGCAGCAAAAAAGTTTGATTTCTGTTACCAGCATCACTGCAGTGATCACAGAAATCATGGAAAACTGCAATACATTGCAACTGAGTTAGAATACCAAGCACAAAGAGCAGTCAGAAGGGCAAGCATTTATAAAAGGTACAAACAAGCCAAACTGTTCTATACAATGCAGCAGTGTTTTTTTCCACGTTAGCTCTGGCTTCAGAATCAGCTGTCAAGGAGGGAAAAGGGCAATTACATCAAGTTACAGGTTAATTCCCTAGCAGCTGAAACAGTCCTCTTAGGTCTATTTCAGATTCATCCCCTTTAATATGGGGGGAGCATGCTGTGCAGCACTGACCAAGGCAATCCTGGCACTATCTCACTGTGTCTACATGTTTCCCTTTTAGCCTTGGAGCAAAGCTGGAGAAGCAGAAGTTGTCATGGGCACGGTCACCTCATGGAAGTTATTTCAACGTGGCACTTCAGCCCCTTTCTATCACATCCCAACAAGAGAGAGCCAGTGGTGCCTTCCCCAGAGCTCCACTGTGATGCCATCCTGTAACTGCCTGGCCTCACTGACATCCCTACAGCTGTGACACAGGCCCTGGGCCACAAGGAGACAAAAAAATACTTCCTGTAACTTTTAGGCACTACTCCTGTAACTTTGAACACTACTGCTCAGACAAAGAGGAAAACCCTTAATTGAAAATCAGCTCCTGTCATAATCCTTTGGGCTGAAGATAACAAAACTTCTGCCTGTACCCCTGAAGGGTGTCATTCTGCAGCTCCCAGCCACGGGCAGCAGCAGGTATTGTAGGACAGACCTGCTGTGGCCACTAGGATGAATGTGTGAGGCAGGAGGTGCACAATCAAGTAGGCACCTGCTGTGGCTGAACATGAGAAAGTGTTAAAAGTCTGCAGAAAAATTTTGTTTTCTGAGAAAATTGTACTAACTATCTTTTTTGCCTACCATTTACTCAAGTCACAGGAGGATGAGCAATCCATATGTAAGAGAGATGAATTATTGCTGGACTTACTAATGGCATTTGCTTTGGGCAGAAGGTCTCAGGACTCTATAATGGTTTTATTGCTCTGCTGACCTTGCAATCGATCGTCCTAATTAATAATTTCAATTAATATTAAAACCAGGTATTACTGCAGAGGACTCATTTCCTATACTTGCAGGAGACTCTTCACTGATGGGCTTATCCAAAGCAGACTTCCCATTCAACAAGGCTTGTCTTTAAATTCATACACTATATTTCGAGATCCCTGCAGGTAATATTGATAATATTTGAAATTCTCTTAAAAGGGAAAATAAAATAGAACATCTTTCAGTAATTCACACATATCATAGGTGAGTTTCACAGAGTGCCTACCTCCTTAAAGAAGATTAAACAATACCTCTGCCTATAGTTTTGCTGAAATTCATCCCCTTCCCTTACAGAGAGAGGATTTCCCTAACCAGAATAATGGAAAACAGCAAAAGATACCATTTTGCTTTGTCTGTATTTATATTCAGCAACCTTTTAAGAAAGCTTCAGCACCCTATGCTATGGAACAATTAGATCTGAAAACTGAAGGAGAAAAAGTATCAGTTTTAAAAAGGTTTGCAGAGGTGTGCTGGAGCTGTGCAGTTACAGGGACCTTGTCATCCACCCCCATAACCCCAGACTGGGACCACATCATCCCTCATCTGCTGCTGCAGGTGTGGAGGAAAGGAGAACTTGGTGGTCCCAGCGTGGGCACTCATGCCTCATGGCTCCTTCTGAACTCAAGGGTTTTGTGCCTCAAGTTGTCTTTTCCTCTGTGGGGACAATATTTCATCTCTCAGGGGTGTTGCAGAAATAAATTATCTAACTACAGAGAATAGGGAGAGCCTGAGTAATGAGCGTGGGGAACAGGCCTGAGAGGAAATGAGTAATTCTGCCTCCAGAGCACAGCCTGGGCCACGCACAGCAAATAAGGCCTGGAGGCACATGAACAATGAGGTTAAATAAAATATTGAACAGCCACTCATTAAGAACAACATTAAGCCAGGGACCCTTCTCACTTCCCTGCTTGTGATCCACGGTAACCAAGGGCCATATCCCAGTGTGTGTTTGTGTGCAAGGGGCAGAATCTGGGCTGCAGAGGCCACCTGGTTTGTGACAATCCCTAGCTTTGGAATGATTTATCATGCAATCTCAAGGTTATCTGTGTAGGAGTGTGTGTGAGGGGAAGCGCTCGCCTCTCCTGCTGTCACAACATTCAAGGTGCAACGGATTAAGACTTCGCCATAGAGGCAAGGAGCCGCACAGAGAGATTTACTCACAACTTCAGCAGTGATTTAATTCAGAGCCACACCATGTGGGTGTAATTACTCACTGCGAATGAGCTGCCTCCCATCCTGGAAAAGCCATCTGTGGAGCAGCCTGAGCTCTGTGCAGACAGCATGGACCCACGCCTGCCACCAAGTGTGAGTGAGGCACGGGTGGGAGGTGCAGGAGGTGCTGCAGCTGGAGCAGCAGTGCATGCACACCAAGGCAGAGGACCCGAGCTATCCCTGTTACCTGTTCGGCCAACAGTGACGCCAGGCTTGAGTAAGCATCTGCAAACTCTGGGCCGTACTTAATGGAGTCCCGCAGCAAGATTACAGCCTCCTCCTTCTTCCCTTGGGACCTGCAGGAAGGAGCAAAAAAACCCAGAAAGAAATATTCCTGTAAGTACATGTTTAGGTTATCCCACTGATTAACTACTTTAAAGAGACATTGATGTGCCCGGCTTGCCCTTTTCGGGGATGACTAAATGATTCACTCACGCCTCCTCTCCACAATGTGAATACCCAGCACTTCCTCAGCCCATCGCCGTCTCCAGCAGCTGGGAGGACAGAGGCTTTAATGAATGGATACAGTTAAGTATCTGAAGGGAGAGGATGGAGGCACTGTGATCTGGGAACAGGACATTCCCTTTCACTTCAGCAGCCTGGAGACGCTGCTTAATTTCCTTTACTAAAACCTTGAAGAGTCTCTGCATGTTCCTAGACAAGTGCTCTTACAGATCCACTTGCAACTCCATTATTTTGAAAGTGAAATATCTCCAAGTTAAATCTGCCTGGGATCTCTAAATAATTCCTTAGCAAGTTGATCATTAGGCTAGAGGAGTTCTGTCTTTCAGATCCTAAGGATTATGAACAAGAGACAGCTAAAAGGTGGCTGCGCTGATGAGCTGTTTTTTTTTCCCAGCATTGCTCTGCATTTATTGTCATGGAAAATGGAAAAGGTCTCCCTAACAAAAATCTTAGGATATTTATTTATTTGAGCTACAATTTCTCCAGTATCGCTCTGTATTTCTCTCCTTTGAAAAATGAGAAGGTTTCCTGAACAAACATCTAAGGATGTTTAGCTGGGCTGAAACAACATTTTCCTTGTGCTGGGTGTACAAAGAATACGAATAGCAGGGCTTAGAAAAAGAAACAGAGGGCTCTGGGGAAATAGAAAATACGTGAACACCTTGCTGCTTTGGCCTTAGATTTCATCTGATTGGCATGGTCAAGTAACCAGATCTTGTTTATAAGGTGCAAATTTCAGCTGATAATATATGTGGCTTTGCAGATTTTTTCCCTTTCTAGTTGTGTAACTGGAAGAATATTTTGCCTGTGCATTAAGCTAAGTAAAACCAGTTGTGCTAGTCTTTTTCTTCTTCCAGTGGTGTTCCATGTAAATTACACGAATGAAGCAAAAACAAATAAAGAACCACTTTTCTCCTACACTAATTAAAGTCTAGCTAGCTTGTCAATTTATAAAACTTTGGGATTCTTTGGCTGGAGTTTCATGACACATTTTTATAAATCAAAAGCAGATGACTGCTTAATAAAGGTATTGATGTTTGGCAGAAAATGTAGGAAATGCCCGCTACAGAAATAAAAGGATTAAGTGATCCACTCAGCAGCAGTAAAAGTTCACATTAACCACAAGCATTCACTCTAAACATGGGGCAGCCCTCTTAAATACTCTTTTATTCCAAAATGGCCTCTTTTATCCTCCATTTGATCCAAGAACAATGTTTGTCTCCTGAAAGTGGGGGTAAAGAGGGAAAGATTATGGCATCTTTTTATGTGACAGACTGCATTACATTAAAAAAAGCAGATCCAGTAGTTTCTCAGAGGGCTTAGGCCTGCAAGATACCAAGTGCTCTGGCCAGGCACTTAAACGTGTACTTAACTTTTATGTATGCAAGTTGAAAATTAATTACTGGTTGAAGTGCTTTCCTGGCTCAAGGCCAACACTTTGCACGATCAAGGCCGTCTCTTACATAAATCTCCTGCAATTTGGGAAAGCACAAAGCATTGAAAGAACAGTCCAATACACTAATTTACCACAAACTGGGGATCCGTAGCAGGAAGAGTTAGGTAATGTACATCTTCACTGTGATAAAGAGAAGAACAAATTCAACTGACAGGAGCAATCTGTGATCACTTACTCCAATTTTTACCCAACTGACCCTGTTTTACAATTCCCTCTCTCTCTTGACTCCCTCTCCCACCTGAGCTCAGAGCCATGCCTTTCCAATCAGCATGCTCCAGCTGAAAACAAGGAACAGTTCTTTCCACCGAGAACATCTCTTCCATATTTTTGCACGTGCCCCACCACTGGAGAGGCGCCAGGTTAAACCACCCTGCCAAAGTCTGGCAATGCACAGGGCTGTTAGTACTGCAGCAAATTTCATGTGCAACAGAGAGCAACCTAGGAATTAGGGCTCTAAAGGATTTGGTAACTTTCATATTTTATTTTGTGAAGTTATTTAGACTGTATTACAGCCACAAACACAGGCTCCACAACTGTTCTGAAGAAATTTTTACAAGGATACAGAGAAGCCAGAGCCAAACACTTCTAGAGGTGTGCAATGACAGGACAAGAGGCAACAGATGCCAGAGTAGGAACATGGGACATCCTGATTAGATATAAAGAAAAATATTTTTCACCTCAGGGGTGGTCAAACACTGGAACAGGTCGCACAGAGAAACTGTGGCATCTCTCTCCTTGGAGGGACCCAAAATTCAGCTGGACACAGCCCTGAAAAATCTGATCCAATCAGACTTGCTATGAGCAGCTAGTTTAATCTCCAAATGATCTCTAGAGAACCTAAGTTATAATAATAACCTAAGTTATTTTGTCAACCTGCTGCACAAATTAGACTGCCACAGTCTCCAATGTGTATGTGGTACTGAGGGATAACTGTACCACTTCCTGAGACACAGAGTATCCTGCAGAGACCATTCAGAAAGCCAGATGCAGTACCACTGAACATCACCACTCAGTTTGCTTCTGAATGAAAGGAACATTTCACTAGCTAAAAAGTCTTAAATCTCAATACATGTAGTTTCTACCTGATGTTTTTCAGCATCTCCAGACAGTTTCACAAGCCTGTGTCAGCACACTCACATCCAGAAGCCTGTATCAGAGAGGGCAGACAGTCCTTTCTCTTCTGAATAGATTGGTTTGCTCAACTGGGACTAAATCACAACAACAAACGCTCGGGACATGATGTAGGTTACATACAGAGGAAAATCAGTCCTTTGAGTAAAGTCAAGATTCAGTGGAGATTGTTTCTAGGCATTTCATTTTCCCCTTGAAAATGAAGCCATAACACTCTCAAAGCATGTGAGAGTTCTGAGGCTTTTCTTCATAAGGAACAGTGCTTTAAGTGTGGATTGATACAGTACCAAAATATGAAGTTCTTATCCATTCTTCCTGCAACAGAAAGCTGAGATTGATATTTATTTCATATGTTCATAATATATTATTTCTTGTCTCTTTACAGAAATACCCACAGCCTATAAATTCAAGAGTTGTTCTGCACAATATTCATCTGTATCTCAACAAACCTGAATTTATACAGAGGAGACAAATACTCAAAACACAAGAAAGCAGCATCAGGCTGCTCTGTGTCAGTGATCACAGACCATGAAAGCAGAGATTTCTTACTTTTAGGTAGGCCATCTTTTGAGCCTATTTTAAGTAAGAAATCTGTCGGCATTGTTTAATTATCTGCTCTCCAGTATTTACAGTACACACGAAAATTATGACATACAACTTTATTTTAGGATATGTAAACACAACCAGAGGCTTATTCAGCCATTACCCTGCAATACTTCCTGAGAACATTCATCTTCTGGCACATAGCTGTCTTCTTTATGTGCAAACAGAAAATAGATACATCATTTTTCATCTACGACTTCCACAGAAAACAACTTAAAAATTCCATCCTGCATCCTCAAAACAGTTCTTACTCAAGTTTAAATCAGAAGCAATGGATGCTCAAATAGCTTATTTGCATGGAATAATGAAAGGCAGATTCCCACATGGGAATGACAAACCCATGATTCCAAAATCCTGGACTTCCCTTCTCTCAGTACTCCAGAGATGAAATCTAGTATCTGCCATCAGGTTTGCACACAACGAGCAGGGATGGGTACAAGGAACTCAGCAGAATTCAACTGGGAATTCCCCATGCTGGGCAATTTCATTCCATGTCCCAGTACAAGCAGTGCTGTTGCTGGACACGCCTTAAGAGTCACAGATCTGTCTCTTCCTGATCCACTCCAAGCTCTGAAGCCTTTGTAAAGAGGACAGTCAAGCTTTTATTGCTTGACCACTTATCTTCTCTCTGACATATGCTTAAAAATCAAAACACTCTTCATAATGTTTCATAATACAGCCAGAAAGTTATATCTGTCTGTAATATTCTGCAGATTTCCATTTTATTCCATTTATTACCCATATTATACTAGCATTTAGTGTCTGCAGAATAGTGGCTGCCATATATATACACATTTATATATATATATATGGAAGGATAATTGTAGACACAGGTAGAAAATATAAATAAAGATACAGTTGTAGGAAGGGGGAAAGTGAAACGTCTGCCTTGTACCTGTCTGGTGTCATCTCACAAGTTACCTCATGCTCCAGCATGGCTGCTGTTCTTTGCTAAGCTGCTGGATCATCTAGGAAAGGTGCTGGCCCTTGGGATCCCATTTTAAGGGAGACATTCATATGGGATCTGCCCACATAGCATCTGCTTTACACGTGTGCTAATTCCTGTATTGTGAGCTCCATCTATTTTTCAGTAGGTTTTTAAAAGCTGAACAGGGATATGAGGGCACTCAGCTTCCAATAAAATTAATACAAGTGCTGTGTCCAGATGTACTACATTGTTTTGGAAGTCTAAAGGAAGTTTAGAAAAAGGGAGCAAATGGATGTGGGAAAAGGGCAGGAGGATCCTGAATGCTTTCTTCTGACAAGTTTAGCACAAGCATCACACACATTTAACATACTGCAAAATGTGGCACCACAGAAGGATGCAGAGCACATACAATCCAACAGGACACACAATATCTTAAGGATCACAATGTGAAAACGATGACATATTGCACAGAAAACAAACAGCAGTTCTAAGAAATTTTCCCCACGTCTCCTTTGTGCTTTTCAAGTGCAACGAATGCAGTTTTTATCCATCTGTTGGGTCGTAAGAGCCTTTGACAGGCCGGATTTAAACATAATTGACATGGAATGTCCTGGTGCTTCTTATGGCTTAGATCCTTTTGCATTAATATTTTATATTTAAAAAAAAACCCAAAACATAAAGGCGAATAATAACTAAGGCACACATGACGGATTTAAAAGACAATATGTAATCTTAAACACCATTGCTACCTAAAATTAATTTCAATCAACCAAATTTTATGAATAATACAAATACCTTTCTTTTCTCTTGTAATAGGACTTTACAGTTTTCCTTCCTTGTATTTCCAGTAAAGCACTTACCTAATTTCTATTTAAGATTACTCATTACCCATATTCTAACCTCAAAACACCAGTTTTACTTGTAGTATTATTCTGATAATTTCTCTGCTTCTGAACAGACCAGGCAGAACTTCAGCAGCCGACTTAACATCCTTTATACAAATCCACACTCTATGTTACATTTCAGGACCAGAAAGACCGAATTTTAATGACACAGTGCCATTTTAAAACAAGTCCCACACTAAGTCCGTCATGGTTTAAGCAGCATAAAGCCCAGTCTCCTCTAAAAGATTTACCAATACCTTTTATCAGCAAAATAGGGGCAGTTCATATCAGCAGATATGTACTTTTTTTGCTGTAGTTTATGCAGTTCTGTCAGCAAATAGACCACAATATCCTCACAAAAACAAGGACCTTTTGCTGGTGCTAAGCAGAGCTATTTTACTTTTTTTCATTTAACCCTTCACAGATCTTACCATACTGGCTTCTTGTACAGATCTAAGTTTAGTCTTTGGATGTGGTTAGTCAAATTAATTTGCATGATTATGATTGTCTGCTATTCTCCTTGCTAAAGGCTGACACTCTAAATAACAACGTGTGAAATAATGAGCTCATCAACTTGTTTTTAACCGCCCAGGGATGTAAACCAGCCTTCCTCTCAAACCTAGAATTACCTGCTCTGCAAGGGAATGAACCTCTGCTGCTCTGAGCATCTCAGTATAAGGTGCTTATGCCTGAACTATACAACTTCCCATAATGAGGAGAAGTGGGAACTTGAAGAGAGGGATTTTTTGGATCTGTGTTAGTTATTAGCTCAGCATCTGATGCCTACCTTTGATCAATACAGCTTCCTCTCCTGGAAATGTTCACACATCTCCACCAGGACAGGGATCTCAGGTCACTAGCTGGGTTTAGGCAACTCATTTCTGAGGCCTGTTTCAGAACAAATGAATTTCCTACAACTGAAACACACTTGTGAACAGCACCTGGAGTGACGTGGCAGACAGCAGGGGTATCCAAAGCAAACCTCATCTTTGTGCTGGCACTTTTGGATGGCACTAAGAAATAACACATTTCTTTACCAGCTGGCAGAAAAAAACTGCTTTGGTGATATGTGTAGGGGCAATGTGAATTTTCTTGGTGCCAGACCTGCATTCAACTTACTTGAGCAGGTTGCCAAGGTTGAAGAGAGCTCGATTGTGCTGTGGGTTGAGCTGCAGGGCCCGTCTGTAGTAATCCTTAGCCTCCACGACGTCTTTGGTCAACGTCCCCAAGTTGTTGAGAGCACTTGCATGACGAGGGTACAGCCTGGGAAAAATGAAATATCAAGTTATAGATGCTCATTAATTAACAAATAATGCTGATGTCACTGACTCTGCTGTTTGGCACCCAATAAAGGAATGAATGTCAGCCAAAAAACCTTGTTTGCTCTTCATTTGCTGCTGGTCAGATGGGATCTTGAGGACCCTTCTCAATTCCTAAAGAGATTGCAAATTAGATCTTCTCCTATGGTTCCTATATACCTCCAGGGAAAAATGAACATTGAACAGCTTTGAAAACCTATCTTACCTTTCAAGCAAAAGGCATAGTGACTAAAGCAGCCTGAATGTTTTTATTCAAAATGGTTTTGCAACAAGTAAGAACTGCCTTGTCAAAAAATGTTTCCAATGGAAATATATTTTGATATACACAGAATCCAACACAACATCATTTAATATTATTGGTTGGGTTTTTGAAATTTTTTCCACAATAAAACTGATAATAAAATGCAAAAGGAAACCTGAAATCAGCTGTTGAACAATGCTTTCAGGACCAAGCAAAATGCTAAAAGAATCTGGAACCAGACTGCTTAACAGTATGAATTCTCTAAGCTTCTTGTAGTATTTGTACAGTACAGTTCTTCTTTTATCTGACCTGTTGATCTTCACATGTGCCTCTTTCAGTTATAAGATTACATTACTGGGCCCAATGCATCTCTGTTAAAATTCTCCACGAATTAAGTAGCTGTGCTCCTACATTAATATTTTAGTTTGTAGGTCTTTCACCAGAGAACTCCAGAGGTGGAAATGATCCAGGGCTTGATGTAAGCATCCAGGACCCTCTGTGTGATAGGTAGGTGAAAACTGAGGGTCATAATGAAAGGAAGTAAATTTCTGACAGATGCCCACAGAGGTCCCTGGTGACCAGCTGTGTGAGAAGGTCTGAGGCTCTGAGGACAAAGTTATCTGACAGTTCTTTGCCTTAGGGCCCTGATCATGGGAAAGTGATGTGGATAATGACATTAAAAGCAAATGGCTATGAAAGCACAGGGTACAGCACGAGAAGGGGCATTTAAAGGTAGAAGGGATTAAGACTCTATAGTATAGCCTGACTAAAGTTTGCAACTGTTTTTAATCCAAGACTTTCCATGGTGGGCTTTTTTTTTTTTGCCAGGAGTTTTTCACTACGTCAGTTCAGCCTTAGGGTTTTCTGTGCTTAAGTACCATGAATAATTTAGCATTTTATACACTGCTGCAACATTTGTATCAGTCACATTTTCACTCCACAGCTCATAAATTATTTTGGCAAGGTCTTATTTGGGGGTGAAGCTGGAAACATTCAAGGGAACTCTGGGAGAAATGGGCATGCACCACTAACAAAACCAGGATGTTTCCTACCATTAAGTAAGAGAAAAGCCTGAAGTAGTTTTTTCACCTATCAAACAAGGGCTGAAAAGCCACATATTTAAGGAGAAATTGTTCAGGGATGCAGCCATGTGTTTTTTAAAAACTGGCCTGTTAAAATAACAAAAGATAAATGTAGTGACCATCACTCATAGCAAATAATGACTACAGAATGCCAACATCCCTCGCACACAGGTGAGCATCCCGTCTCTCAGAGGTCACCACTTCTGTTGCAAGCCCTCAGGTGCACTGCCCAGCATCCGCACTCACCCCTGCCACCTGCATTCACTGCTCAGGTGACTTGTGAAGAGACCCCTAACTGAACTTGTCACAGAGTAGCAGTGAGCAGGAAATTTGTGGTGAGAACAGCAGTTAGCATAGAAATAGCATCCCTTTCCATTGCCGATGCTCCCCAGTGAGCCTGATGCATTTTTGGGGTGTGAGAGGCTTCCTGCGCTTGGAGAAGCACCAGCAAAAGAAAAGATGATGATGAGGGTGTAGTGTGGAGGCTTGACCTTGGCCATCAAATCCACCTGTCATCTAGTCTAAGTCTCCCCAGGTGAAGCAAGCTGGGACAAATGCTTTCCAGAGCAACTGCAGGAGAGGAATGGAAAGGGCCAAGCTTGCTTGCTCTTCAGCACTTAGGATGCAGCTCTGTGCGACACCTTGACCAGAATCCTGAGCAAAGAGCATCTTAGGGCAAATGACCACAGGCTCAGTCTTGTTTCCCATTTCCTCCAAGGGATTTTGACACTGTTTTGGACCAAGAAAAAGGTCTGGGAGTTATATTTTTGAGCCTTTTTTACCAGATGGCTATGATACAGGAGTGCACTACTTCTGTCAGTACTCACACATAAAACAGCTCTAATATTTGACATGAAGTCACTTGAGTTATGAATGGGAATAAGGATTTCAGACAATTCTTGGGAAAGTCAGAAACAGATTAACATTTTACAGCCCTCAGTCTGATGGTTCTTCTTTCAAACTTTCAGAAATTAATTCAGTTCTTGGCCTTTAGTGCTCCTATGGCATTTTAGGCCCAGGAGATTTGCTTGCACCAATCTGGAGTGGAATGAAAACTCAAGATTAAAAAAGGGAACAGATTTCACCTTTAAATTGCACAGTTCTGACCAGCAGCTCCATAAATACACTTCTGAGCTCACTGCTAAAACCTCTCAACAGCAAATCACAGGATGCAAACACGTCTCCAATGTATCCTGGGCTCTATTTCTTGTGTTTTACATTTATTCATTACATCTCATTGCCCTTTCCAAGAAATGTAAGTGAAAACCCAGAACACAAATTGTCAGCTTAAACCTGCTTAGCATCTGGCCTGAAGAACTTACTACATCTACAATTTCACATGTCTGAACAAAAGTTACGAGAAATTCTGACCACGGCGAGATAAGGCAGCAGGGTTGGGCTTTGCCGCTAAAGTTCAACTCTTTTATTTCTCTCCAAATATTTTATTTGGAATATTACTTTATTATGGTGGAAAAGCAAGCTGCCACTCAACTGAGTTCAGCAGAACAACCAAGCCTAAGAGACCATCTCCTCTGGTAAAGTAACCAGAGTCAGAGTCTGAGCCCATGACTATCCATGCTGTTACAGAAACATTTAACCATAGAATGTTTTGGGAGGTAAAGGACCTTAAAGACCATCTGTTCCAATGCCCGTCCACTATGGGCAGGGACACCTTCTACTAGACCAGGTGATTCAAAGCCCCATCCAATCTGGCCTTGGACACTTCCAGGAATGGGGCATCCACAGCTTCTATGAACAATGTGTTCCAGTGCCTCAACATTCTCACAGTAAATAATTTCTTCCTAGTATCTCATCTAAACCTGCCCTCTTTCAGTTTATGCTACTTTCACACCATCCTCAAAGAGTTCCAGGCCTGAGCCCAGACCAGGGTTTGGTCCCAAAAGCCAACTTGGACTTGGTCACTGTCTCTCAGAGGATACATAACGTTTACTGAATTCTTCCAGGTCAATTTATGCCAGTTGACCTCAGGGCTAGAGAATGTGGACCAGATAATTTTTTTATTTATTAATATGGATGTTGAATAAAGGACTAGCAGCCTATTTAAACTACCCTTTTTCAGGCACACCCACTGCTCTTAATAACAGTTCCCTGAGAATAAAAACACAGGGGAACAGTCTTGTGGCAGGATTTATGCACAAGCATAAAACTTGACCAAAAGCTACCAAATAAGCAACATCTACTCAAGAACTTTCAAAATGGTTCTGCAAGACTGGCAGGTACACCAAACTTGTTTGCTTTTGCTGTAGGTGATGTGTTGTTGTAATGGAGGGAGACACATGTGCTTCTCCTATTTTGAAGTTATCAGGAGATTTGTGCTGTTCATCAAGACTTCTGGAATTGGTCTCAATGAATCCTGATAATCAGCTTTAACTTATTTTAAGTTCTCTAATGCAAACATCTCTTTCCCATGCTTCATTCATATGAAGAATGTATTTATTTCTTAGAAAGGTTAGAAACACATTACCAAGACAAGGAGGTCTCCAATTAACCTGGAGTCTCTTCATGCCACAGTAATGACAATACTCAGAATACAGACTTTATTTTATAAACCATCACTCTGAAGACACTGAGATGCAAGAGATCAATTGTTAGAACATATCTAGCTTGTTTTGAAACTTCTCCTAAGAAACAAAGCTTTCTATCTGGACATATATAGAGCTGTATTTTCCTTGCCACCACCATTGATAATGGTAACAGTCTGCAGGCAATATCCTCCTTGCTATGCATCTGATTAGGTAGAAATTCCTCTAGGCTTCACCTAATCAAATGCAAGTGCTGCATTATTTATGAAAGAAAGCTGAATTTCATTAAATTTATTCTACAAGTAGCAGTTCATGTAAGAAATCAGTTTATCCTTTCCTTTAGAAATCAGAATAATTTTCTTTAAAAATCTACATTCAAGGATAATTATAATAGAAGTCTTGAAATAGCAAAATTATGGGAAAGCAACCCATAAAAGTATATTTTAAAGCAGATGAAGATTTCATTTCTAAAGAGAAGACAAGTGGGATGATTCCTTGTTGTAGAATGAATAATTCAAATGGTACCTCCAATGCTGTATCTGCAATTGTCAGAATAAATTTCAGCAGCCTTCCCTTTAACTATTACAGGTATAGACTCACACAAGAACTCCTGTTAGAAATTATCCCCACTTCTTTAGGTTAGCAAAATTCCCTCTAATACCACTGAACAAAAGCCCTACTGACTTGCAGAGTAAAGAGATTTCCAGTTTCCCAAGACCAGGTACAAAACATACACAAAACGCTGATGGCCATTTATTCTGCTTTTTCATTTAATGCTGCTATTAGCTGAAACATAAGGGTTTTTTAAAAAAATTTGAAGGGCTTCTTTTGCTCCATATCTGAATTACAAGACAATTACATAATGAAGAGAAAGGGAGGAAATTTGTTGTCATGACTGCAACCTATGATCCACCAAGAATTTTAATTCTTTTAATTCAGATTGAGAGATACCTCTTAATCAACTGGCAAGCTCTGCTCACAGTCCTGCCTTTAAACAGCCCCTGGTCTGGTGCCAGGGGTATGCAGGGGGAGGAAGGCATTAGTGTGACAACTGCCCACTTGCTCTTAAGAGCTTTAT